TCAATTCACAGCAAGGAAATCCGGCCTCCTTTGAAGTTAGGGCTTCTCGCTGTATATTCCACTTGAGGCAGCAAACTGGGGGTCCCTCCAACATTCCTATTGCTGAGAGAAGGCTCCCCTTGAGGTGCTTCTGGAAAGTTGGCATACGTCTTGAGCCTAAGCCAGGGAATCAGCTCTCATCTCGAGACGATTTGGGGTACACGGAGCATTCCTCGAGTTGCTGTGCTGAAGATGGTGTTCCTCTAGACTTGGGACAGTGTTCTCAGGGCATCTCTGGAGTTGCCTGAAGGAAGTCAAGCCACTGGTCGTGTTTAATGTGGAACGGGGGATGGCTCTGGAGTCAATGCAGGGGAATCGGGCATTATCTCGAGTTGATTTGGGGCACATGGTGCTGCTTTGCGTTGATGGGGTGACCTCAGGATCCGTCTAGACATGTGACAGTGTTCTTGGTGACTGTTTCGAGATCCATTAAGCAAGTCGAAGCTTCTGACTTGTTTGATGGGGATCACAGAATTGCTCTGCATGCACTGCAGGAGAATCGGGCCTCATCTCGCCTCTAGGGGAAAGTCTCATGGTTTTTCTCGACTTGCGGCGGGGACCTGGGGTATGTACTCGGGTTACGGCGGGGATGGCCCTTCAAAACACGTGTTTATTCAGTGGCGTCAGGACTCCTGTCCAGTAACGAGGGACAGCTCAGGAATCTCTTCGAGGCTTGGCAGGGCACAAGGGACGCTTCTCGAGGTGAGACTGGGCACACAAGGAACCTTTCAAATAGCCACAGGGATTTTGGGATTCCTATCAATATTTTAGAGGAGTCAGGCATCGTCACCTTTTGAAGCAGTGAACTCCGCGTGCCTCTCTAGGTGACAAATGGATGTGAGGCATTCCGTCAAAATGAGGCAGGGACCTAGAGCTTTCTCTAAGGTCTCCACAGGGGATTCAGACATCCCTTCATTCTGTGAGATGAAAGACGAGCCTGTATTCAAGCCACTGCAAGGAAATCCGGCCTCCTTTCAAGTTAGGGCTTCTCGCTGTATATTCCACTTGAGGCAGCAAACTCGGGGTCCCTCCAACATACCTATTGCTGAGAGAAGCCTCCTCTTGAGGTGCTTCTGGAAAGTTGGCATACGTCTTGAGCCTAAGCCAGGGATTCACCTCTCATCTCGAGACGATTTGTGGTACACGGAGCATTCCTCGAGTTGCTGTGCTGAAGTTGGTGTTCCTCTAGTCTTGGGAGAGTGTTTGCGGGGCATCTCTGGAGTTGCCTGAAGGAAGTCTAGCCAGTTGTCTTGTTTAATGGGGAACTGGGGATGGCTCTGGAGTCAATGCAGGGGAATCGGGCCACATCTCGGGTTGATTTGGGGCACATGGAGCTGCTTTGCGTTGCTGGGGTGACCTCAGGGTCCGTCTAGACTTGTGACAGTGTTCTTGGGGACTGTCTCGAGATCCATTAAGCAAGTCGAAGCTCCTGACTTGTTTGATGGGGATCACGGGAATACTCTGCATGCACTGCAGGGAATCAGGACTCATCTCGCATCTAGGGGGAAGTATCACGGTTTCTCTCAAGTTGCGCTGGGGACCTGGGGTATCTACTCGAGTTACGGCGGGGATGGCCCCTCAAAACCCGTGTTTATTCAGTGCCGTCAGGACTCCTGTCTAGTAACGAGGGACACCTCAGGAATCTCTTCGAGGCTTGGCAGGTCAAAAGGTATGCTTCTCGAGGTGAGGCAGGGCAACCAATGACCCTTTCCAGTAGCCACAGTTATTTTGGGATTCCTATCAATATTCAAGACGAGTCAGGCATCATCACCTTTTGAAGCAGTGAACTCCGCGTGCCTCTCGAAGTGTCAACTGGATGTGAGGCATTCCGTCAAAATGATGCAGGGATCTAGAGCTTTCTCTAAGGTCTCCACAGGGGATTCAGACATCCCTTCATGCTGTGAGATGAAAGACGAGCCTGTATCCAAGCCACTGCAAGGAAATCCGGCCTCCTTTCAAGTTAGGGCTTCTGGCTGTATATTCCACTTGAGGCAGCAAACTCGGGGTCCCTCCCAAATACCTATTGCTGAGAGAAGCCTCCTCTTGAGGTGCTTCTGGAAAGTTGGCATACGTCTTGAGCCTAAGCCATGGAATCAGCTCTCACCTCGAAACGATTTGGGGTACACGGAGCATTCCTCGAGTTGCTGTGCTGAATTTCGTATTCCTCTAGACATGGGACAGTGTTCTCGGGGCATCTCTCGAGTTGCCTGAAGGAAGTCAAGCCACTGGTGGTGTTTAATGGGGTACGGGGGATGGTTCTGGAGTCAATGCATGGGAATCGGGCCTCAACGCGAGTTGATATGGGGTACTTGGAGCTGCTTTGCGTTGCTGGGGTGATGTCAGGGTCTGTCTAGACTTGTGACTGTGTTCCTGGGGACTCTCTCGAGATCCATTAAGAAATTCGAAGCTGCTGACTTGCTTGATTGGGATCACGGGAATGCTCTGCATGGACTGCAGGGAATCAGGCCTCATCTCGCATCTAGGGGAAGTCTCATGGTTTTTCTCGAGTTGCGGCGGGACCTGGGGTATGTTCTCGAGTTATGGCGGGCATGGCCCTTGAAAACACGTGTTTATTCAGTGACGTCATGACTCCTGTCTAGTAATGAGGGACACCTCAGGAATCTCTTCGAGCCTTGGCAGGGCAAAAGGGATGCTTCTCGAGGTGAGGCAGGGCACACAAGAACCCTTTCCTGTAGCCACAGTGATTTTGGGATTCCTATCAATGATCAGGAGGGGTCAGGCATCGTCACATTTGAAGCAGTGAACTCCGTGTGCCTCCCGAGGTGTCAACGGGATGTGAGGCAATCCGTCAAAATGAGGCAGGGACCTAGGGCTTTCGCTAAGGTCTCCACAGGGGATTCAGACAATCCTTCTGGTTTTGAGATGAAAGACAAGCCTGTATTCAAGACACTGCAAGGAAACCCGGCCTCCTTTCAAGTTAGGGCTTCTCGTTGCATATTCCACTTGAGGCAGCAAAATGTGGGTCCCTCCAACATATCTATTGCTGAGAGAAGCCTCCCCTTGAGGTGCTTCTGGAAAGTTGGCATACGTCTTGAGCATAAGCCAGGGAATCAGCTCTCATCTCGAGACGATTTGGGGTACACGGAGCATTCCTCAAGTTGCTGTGTTGAAGATGGTGTTCCTCTAGACTTGGGACAGTGTTCTCAGGGCATCTCTGGAGTTGTCTGAAGGAAGTCAAGCCACTGGTGGTGTTTAATCTGGAACGGGGGATGGCTCTGGAGTCAATGCAGGGGAATCGGGCATTATCTCGAGTTGATGTGGGGCACATGGTGCTGCTTTGCGTTGATGGGGTGACCTCAGGATCCATCTAGACATGTGATAGTATTCTTGGGGACTGTCTCTAGATCCATTAAGCAAGTCGAAGGTCCTGACTTGTTTGATGGGGATCATGGAATTGCTCTGCATGCACTGCAGGAGAATCGGGCCTCGTCTCGCCAATAGGGTAAAGTCTCATGGTTTTTCTCGACTTGCGGCGTGGACCTGGGGTATGTACACGGGTTACGGCGGGGATGGCCCTTAAAAACTCGTGTTTATTCAGTGACGTCAGGACTCCTGTCCAGTAACGAGGGACAGCTCAGGAATCTCTTCGAGGCTTGGCAGGGCAAAAGGGATGCTTCTCGAGGTGAGGCAGGGCACCCAAGAACCCTGTCCTGTAGGTACAGTGATTTTGGGATTCCTATCAATGTTCAGGAGGAGTCAGGCATCGTCAGCTTTTGAAGCAGTGAACTCCGCGTGACTCTCGAGGTGTCAACGGGATGTGAGGCATTCCGTCAAAATGAGGCAGGGACCTAGGGCTTTCTCTAAGGTCTCCACAGGGGATTCAGACATCTCTTCCTGCTGTGAGATGAAAGACGAGCCTGTATTCAAGACACTGCTAGGAAACCGGCCTCCATTCTAGTTAGTGCTTCTCGCTGTATATTCCATTTGAGGCAGCAAACTCGGGTTCCCTCCCACATACCTATTGCTGAGAGAAGCCTCCTCTTGAGGTGCTTCTGGAAAGTTGGCATACGTCTTGAGCCTAAGCCAGGGAATCAGCTCTCAACTCGAGAAGATTTGGCATACAGGAAGCATTCCTCGAGTTGCTGTGCTAAAGGAGGTTTTCCTCTAGACTTGGGACAGTGTTCTCGGGGCATCTCTGGAGTTGTCTGAAGGAGGTCAAGCCACTGGTGGTGTTTAATGCGAAACGGCAGATGGCTCTGGAGTCAATGCAGGGGAATCGGACCTCATCTCAAGTTGATTTGTGGCACATGGAGCTGCTTTGCGTTGCTGGGGATACCTCAGGGTCCGTCTAGACATGTGACAGTGTTCTTGGGGAATGTCTCGAGATCCATTAAGCAAGTCGAAGCTCCTGACTTGTTTGATGGGGATCACGGAATTGCTCTGCATGCACTGCAGGAGAATCGGGCCTCATCTCGCTTCTAGGCGGAAGTCTCATGGTTTTTCTCGATTTGCGGCGGGGACCTGGGGTATGTACTCGAGTTACGGCGGCGATGGCCCTTCAAAACACGTGTTTATTCAGTGACGTCAGGACTCCTGTCCAGTAACGAGGGACAGCTCAGGAATCTCTTCGAGGCTTGCCGGGGCACAAGGGACGCTTCTCGAGGTGAGGCAGGGCACCCAAGGAACCTTTCCAATAGCCACAGGGATTTTGGGATTCCTATCAATATTCAAGAGGAGTCAGGCATCGTCACCTTTTGAAGCAGTGAACTCCGCGTGCCTCTCGTGGTGTCAACGGGATGTGAGGCATTCCGTCACAATGAGGCAGGGACCTAGGGCTTTCTCTAAGGTCTTCACTGGGGATTCAGACATCCTTTCCTGTTGTGAGATGAAAGACGAGCCTGTATACAAGACACTGCAAGGAAATCCGGCCTCCTTTCAAGTTAGGGCTTCTCGCTGTATATTCCACTTTAGGCAGCAAAATCGGGGTCCCACGAACATACCTATTGCTGAGAGAAGCCTCCTCTTGAGGTGCTTCTGGAAAGTTGGCATACGTCTTGAGCCTAAGCCAGGGAATCAGCAATCATCTCGAGACGATTTGTGGTACACGGGGCATTCCTCGAGTTGCTGTGCTGAAGTTCGTATTCCTCTAGACTTGGGACAGTGTTCTCGGGGCATCTCTGGAGTTGCCTGAAGGAAGTCAAGCCACTGGTGGTGTTTAATGGGGTACGGGGGATGGTTCTGGAGTCAATGCATGGGAATCGGGCCTCATCTCGAGTTGATGTGGGGTACTTGCAGCTGCTTTGCATTGCTGGGGTGACCTCAGGGTCTGTCTAGACTTGTGACAGTGTTCCTGGGGACTTACTCGAGTTCAATTCAGCAAGTCGAAGCTCCTGACTTGCTTGATGGGGATCACAGGAATGCACTGCATGGACTGCAGGGAATCAGGCCTCATCTCGCATCTAGGGGAAGTCTCATGGTTTTTCTCTAGTTGCGGCGGGACCTGGGGTATGTTCTCGAGTTATGGCGGGCATGGCCCTTGAAAACACGTGTTTATTCAGTGACGTCATGACTCCTGTCTAGTAATTAGGGACACCTCAGGATTCTCTTCGAGCCTTGGCAGGGCAAAAGGGATGCTTCTCGAGGTGAGGCAGGGCACACAAGAACCCTTTCCTGTAGCCACAGTGATTTTGGGGTTCCTATCAATGATCAGGAGGGGTCAGGCATCGTCACATTTGAAGCAGTGAACTCCGTGTGCCTCTCGAGGTGTCAACGGGATGTGAGGCAATCCGTCAAAATGAGGCAGGGACCTAGGGCTTTCGCTAAGGTCTCCAAAGGGGATTCAGACATTCCTTCCTGTTGTGAGATGAAAGACGAGCCTGTATTCAAGACACTGCAAGGAAACCCGGCCTCCTTTCAAGTTAGGGCTTCTCGCTGCATATTCCACTGGAGGCAGCAAACTGGGGGTCCCTCCAACATATCTATTGCTGAGAGAAGCCTCCCCTTGAGGTGCTTCTGGAAAGTTGGCATACGTCTTGAGCCTAAGCAAGGGAATCAGCTCTCATCTCGAGACGATTTGGGGTACACGGAGCATTCCTCGAGTTGCTGTGCTGAAGATGGTGTTCCTCCTGACTTGGGACAGTGTTCTCAGGGCATCTCTGGAGTTGTCTGAAGGAAGTCAAGCCACTGCTCTTGTTTAATGTGGAACGGGGGATGGCTCTGGAGTCAACGCAGGGGAATCGGGCATTATCTCAAATTGATGTGGGGCACATGGTGCTGCTTTGCGTTGATGGGGTGACCTCAGGATCCGTCTAGACATGTGACAGTATTCTTGGGGACTGTCTCGAGATCCATTAAGCAAGTCGAAGGTCCTGACTTGTTTGATGGGGATCACGGAATTGCTCTGCATGCACTGCAGGAGAATCGGGCCTCATCTCGCCACTAGGGGAAAGTCTCATGGTTTTTCTCGACTTGCGGCGGGGACCTGGGGTATGTACTCGGGTTACGGCGGGGATGGCCCTTCAAAACTCGTGTTTATTCAGTGATGTCAGGACTCCTGTCCAGTAACGAGGGACAGCTCAGGAGTCTCTTCGAGGCTTGGCAGGCACAAGGGACGCTTCTCGAGGTGAGGCAGGGCACCCAAGGAACCTTTCAAATAGCCACAGGGATTTTGTGATTCCTATCAATATTCAAGAGGAGTCAGGCATCGTCAGCTTTTGAAGCAGTGAACTCCGCGTGACTCTCGAGGTGTCAACGAGATGTGAGGCATTCCGTCAAAATGAGGCAGGGAACTAGGGCTTTCTCTAAGGTCTCCACAGGGGATTCAGACATCTCTTCCTGCTGTGAGATGAAAGACGAGCCTGTATTCAAGACACTGCTAAGAATCCGTCCTCCTTTCTAGTTAGTGCTTCTCGCTGTATATTCCATTTGAGGCAGCAAACTCGGGTTCCCTCCCACATACCTATTGCTGAGAGAAGCCTCCTCTTGAGGTGCTTCTGGAAAGTTGGCATAGGTCTTGAGCCTAAGCCAGGGAATCAGCTCTCATCTCGAGAAGGTTTGGCATACAGGAAGCATTCCTCAAGTTGCTGTGCTAAAGTAGGTGTTCCTCTGGACTTGGGACAGTGTTCTCGGGGCATCTCTGGAGTTGTCTGAAGGAGGTCAAGCAACTGGTCGTGTTTAACGGGGAACGGCAGATGGCTCTGGAGTCAATGCAGGGGAATCGGACCTCATCTCAAGTTGATTTGGGGCACATGGTGCTGCTTTGCGTTGCTGGGGATACCTCAGGGTCCGTCTAGACATGTGACAGTGTTCTTGGGGAATGTCTCGAGATCCATTAAACAAGTTGAAGCCCCTGACTTGTTTGATGGGGATCACGGAATTGCTCTGCATGCACTGCAGGAGAATCGGGCCTCATCTCGCTTCTAGGCGGAAGTCTCATGGTTTTTCTCGAGTTGCGGCGGGGACCTGGGGTATGTACTCGAGTTACGGCGGCGATGGCCCTTCAAAACACGTGTTTATTCAGTGACGTCAGGACTCCTGTCCAGTAACGAGGGACAGCTCAGGAATCTCTTCGAGGCTTGCCGGGGCACAAGGGACGCTTCTCGAGGTGAGGCAGGGCGCCCAAGGAACCTTTCCAATAGCCACAGGGATTTTGGGATTCCTATCAATATTCAAGAGGAGTCAGGCATCGTCACCTTTTGAAGCAGTGAACTCCGCGTGCCTCTCGTGGTGTCAACGGGATGTGAGGCATTCCGTCACAATGAGGCAGGGACCTAGGGCTTTCTCTAAGGTCTTCACAGGGGATTCAGACATCCTTTCCTGTTGTGAGATGAAAGACGAGCCTGTATACAAGACACTGCAAGGAAATCCGGCCTCCTTTCAAGTTAGGGCTTCTCGCTGTATATTCCACTTTAGGCAGCAAACTCGGGGTCCCACGAACATACCTATTGCTGAGAGAAGCCTCCTCTTGAGGTGCTTCTGGAAAGTTGGCATACGTCTTGAGCCTAAGCCAGGGAATCAGCTCTCATCTCGAGACGATTTGTGATACACGGGGCATTCCTCGAGTTGCTGTGCTGAAGTTCGTATTCCTCAAGACTTAGGACAGTGTTCTCGGGGCATCTCTGGAGTTGCCTGAAGGAAGTCAAGCCACTGGTGGTGTTTAATGTCGAACGGGGGATGGCTCTGGAGTCAATGCAGGGTAATCGGGCATTATCTCGAGTTGATTTGGGGCACATGGTGCTGCTTTGGGTTGATGGGGTGATCTCAGGATCCATCTAGACATGTGACAGTGTTCTTGGGGACTCTCTCGAGATCCATGTAGCAAGTCGAAGCTCCTGACTTACTTGATGAGGATCACGGGAATGCTCTGCATGGACTGCAGGGAATCAGGCCTCATCTCGCATCTAGGGGAAGTCTCATGGTTTTACTCGAGTTGCGTCGGGAACTGGGGTATGTTCTCGAGTTATGGCGGGATGGCCGTTGAAAACACGTGTTTATTCAGTGACGTCAGGACTCCTGTCTAGTAACGAGAGACACCTCAGGAATCTCTTCGAGGCTTGGCAGGGCACAAGGGACGCTTCTCGAGGTGAGGCAGGGCACCCAAGGAACCTTTCCAATAGCCACAGGGATTTTGGGATTCCTATCAATATTTTAGAGGAGTCAGGCATCGTCACTTTTTGAAGCCGTGAACTCCGCGTGCCTCTCGAGGTGACAACGGGATGTGAGGCATTCCGTCAAAATGAGGCAGGGACCTATAGCTTTCTCTAAGGTCTCCACAGGGGATTCAGACATCCCTTCATTCTGTGAGATGAAAGACGAACCTTTATTCAAGCCACTGCAAGGAAATCCGGCCTCCTTTCAAGTTAGGGCTTCTCGCTGTATATTCCACTTGAGGCAGCAAACTGGGGGTCCCTCCAACATACCTATTGCTGAGAGAAGGCTCCCCTTGAGGTGCTTCTGGAAAGTTGGCATACGTCTTGAGCCTAAGCCAGGAAATCAGCTCTCATCTCGAGACGATTTGGGGTACACGGAGCATTCCTCGAGTTGCTGTGCTGAAGTTGGTGTTCCTCTAGACTTGGGACAGTGTTCTCAGGGCATCTCTGGAGTTGCCTGAAGGAAGTCAAGCCACTGGTCGTGTTTAATGTGGAACGGGGGATGGCTCTGGAGTCAATGCATGGGAATCGGGCCTCATCTCGAGTTGATGTGGGGTACTTGCAGCTGCTTTGCATTGCTGGGGTGACCTCAGGGTCTGTCTAGACTTGTGACAGTGTTCCTGGGGACTTTCTCGAGTTGAATTAAGCAAGTCGAAGCTCCTGACTTGCTTGATGGGGATCACGGGAATGCTCTGCATGGACTGCAGGGAATCAGGCCTCATCTCGCATCCAGGGGAAGTCTCATGGTTTTACTCGAGTTGCGGCGGGAACTGGGGTATGCTCTCGAGTTATGGCGGGGATGGCCCTTCAAAACACGTGTTTATTCAGTGACGTCAGGACTCCTGTCTAGTAACGAGAGACACCTCAGGAATCTCTTCGAGGCTTGGCAGGGCAAAAGGGTTGCTTCTCGAAGTGAGGCAGGGCACCCAAGGACCCTGTCCTGTAGCTACAGTAATTTTGGGATTCCTATCAATGTTCAGGAGGAGTCAGGCATCGTCACATTTTGAAGCAGTGAACTCCGCGTGCCTCTCGAGGTGTCAACGGGATGTGAGGCATTCCGTCAAAATGAGGCAGGGACCTAGGGCTATCGCTAAGGTCTCCACAGGGGATTCAGACTTTCCTTCCGGTTGTGAGATGAAAGTCGAGCCTGTATTCAAGACACTGCAGGGAAACCCGGCCTCCTTTCAAGTTAGGGCTTCTCGCTGCATATTCCACTTGAGGCAGCAAACTGGGGGTCCCTCCAACATACCTATTGCTGAGAGAAGCCTCCCCTTGAGGTGCTTCTGGAAAGTTGGCATACGTCTTGAGCCTAAGCCAGGGATCAGCTCTCATCTCGAGACGATTTGGGGTACACGGAGCATTCCTCGAGTTGCTGTGCTGAAGATGGTGTTCCTCTAGACTTGGGACAGTGTTCTCAGGGCATCTCTGGAGTTGTCTGAAGGAAGTCAAGCCACTGGTGGTTTTTAATGTGGAACGGGGGATGGCTCTGGAGTCAATGCAGGGGAATCGGGCATTATCTCGAGTTGATGTGGGGCACATGGTGCTGCTTTGCGTTGATGGGGTGACCTCAGGATCCGTCTAGATATGTGACAGTATTCTTGGGGACTGTCTCGAGATCCATTAAGCAAGTCGAAGGTCCTGACTTGTTTGATGGGGATCACGGAATTGCTCTGCATGCACTGCAGGAGAATCGGGCCTCATCTCGCCAAGAGGGGAAAGTCTCATGGTTTTTCTCGACTTGCGGCGGGGACCTGGGTTATGTACTCGGGTTACGGCGGGGATGGCCCTTAAAAACTCGTGTTTATTCAGTGACGTCAGGACTCCTGTCCAGTAACGAGGGACAGCTCAGGAATCTCTTCGAGGCTTGGCAGGCACAAGGGACGCTTCTCGAGGTGAGGCAGGGCACCCAAGGAACCTTTCAAATAGCCACAGGGATTTTGTGATTCCTATCAATATTCAAGAGGAGTCAGGCATCGTCAGCTTTTGGAGCAGTGAACTCCGCGTGACTCTCGAGGTGTCAACGGGATGTGAGGCATTCCGTCAAAATGAAGCAGGGACCTAGGGCTTTCTCTAAGGTCTCCACAGGGGATTCACACATCTCTTCCTGCTGTGAGATGAAAGACGAGCCTGTATTCAAGACACTGCTAGGAAACCGGCCTCCTTTCTAGTTAGTGCTTCTCGCTTTATATTCCCTTTGAGGCAGCAAACTCGGGTTCCCTCCCACATACCTATTGCTGAGAGAAGCCTCCTCTTGAGGTGCTTCTGGAAAGTTGGTATACGTCTTGAGCCTAAACCAGGGAATCAGCTCTCATCTCGAGAGGATTTGGCATACAGGAAGCATTCCTCGAGTTTCTGTGCTAAAGTAGGTGTTCCTGTAGACTTGGGACAGTGTTCTCAGGGCATCTCTGGAGTTGTCTGAAGGAGGTCAAGCCACTGGTGGTGTTTAATGCGGAACGGCAGATGGCTCTGGAGTCAATGCAGGGGAATCGGACCTCATCTCAAGTTGATTTGGGGCACATGGAGCTGCTTTGCGTTGCTGGGGAAACCTCAGGGTCCGTCTAGACATGTGACAGTGTTCTTGGGGAATGTCTCGAGATCCATTAAGCAAGTCGAAGCCCCTGACTTGTTTGATGGGGATCACGGAATTGCTCTGCATGCACTGCAGGAGAATCGGGCCTCATCTCGCCTCTAGGCGGAAGTCTCATGGTTTTTCTCGAGTTGCGGCGGGGAACTGGGGTATGTACTCGAGTTACGGCGGGGATGGCCCTTCAAAACACGTGTTTATTCAGTGACGTCAGGACTCCTGTCTAGTAACGAGAGACACCTCATGAATCTCTTCGAGGCTTGGCAGGGCAAAAGGGATTCTTCTCGAGGTCAGGCAGGGCAACCAAGAACCCTGTCCTGTAGCTACAGTGATTTTGGGAATCCTATCAATGTTCAGGAGGAGTCAGGCATCGTCACATTTTGAAGCAGTGAACTCCGTGTGCCTCTCGAGTGTCAACGGGATGTGAGGCATTCCGTCAAAATGAGGCAGGGACCTAGGGCTTTCTCTAAGGTCTCCACAGGGGATTCAGACATTCCTTCCGGTTGTGAGATGAAAGACGAGCCTGTATTCAAGACACAGCAATTAAATCCGGCCTCCTTTCAAGTTAGGGCTTCTCGCTGCATATTCCACTTGAGGCAGCAAACTGGGGGTCCCTCCAACATACCTATTGCTGAGAGAAGGCTCCCCTTGAGGTGCTTCTGAAAAGTTGGCATACGTCTTGAGCCTAAGCCAGGGATTCAGCTTTCATCTCGAGACGATTTGGGGTACACGGAGCATTCCTCGAGTTGCTGTGCTGAAGATGGTGTTCCTCTAGACTTGGGACAGTGTTCTCAGGTCATCTCTGGAGTTGCCTGAAGGAAGTCAAGACACTGGTTGTGTTTAATGTGGAACGGGGGATGGCTCTGGAGTCAATGCAGGGGAATCGGGCATTATCTCGAGTTGATTTGGGGCACATGGTGCTGCTTTGCGTTGATGGGGTGACCTCAGGATCCGTCTAGACATGTGACAGTGTTCTTGGGGACTGTCTCGAGATCCATTAAGCAAGTCGAAGCTTCTGACTTGTTTGATGGGGATCACGGAATTGCTCTGCATGCACTGCAGGAGAATCGGGCCTCATCTCGCCTCTAGGGGAAAGTCTCATGGTTTTTCTCGACTTGCGGCGGGGACCTGGGGCATGTACTCGGCTTATGGCGGGGATGGCCCTTCAAAACTCGTGTTTATTCAGTGACGTCAGGACTCCTGTTCAGTAACGAGGCACACCTCAGGAATCTCTTCGAGCCTTGGCATAGCAAAAGGGATGCTTCTCGAGGTTAGGCAGGGCACACAAGAACACTTTCCTGTAGCCACAGTGATTTTGGGATTCCTATCAATGATCAGGAGGGGTCAGGCATCGTCACATTTGAAGCAGTGAACTCCGCGTGCCTCTCGAGGTGTCAACGGGATGTGAGGCATTCCGTCAAAATGAGGCAGGGACCTAGGGCTTTCTCTAAGGTCTTCACAGGGGATTCAGACATCCCTTCCTGTTGTGAGATGAAAGACGAGCCTATATAAAAGACACTGCAAGGAAATCCGGCCTCCATTCAAGTTAGGGCTTCTCGCTGTATATTCCACTTGAGGCAGCAAACTGGGGGTCCCTCCAACATACCTATTGCTGAGAGAAGGCTCCCCTTGAGGTGCTTTTGGAAAGTTGGCATCTGTCTTGAGCCTAAGCCAGGGAATCAGCTCTCATCTCGAGACGATTTGGGGTACACGGAGCATTCCTCGAGTTGCTGTGCTGAAGATGGTGTTCCTCTAGACTTGGGACAGTGTTCTCAGGGCATCTCTGGAGTTGCCTGAAGGAAGTCAAGCCACTGGTGGTGTTTAATGTGGAACGGGGGATGGCTCTGGAGTCAATGCAGGGGAATCGGGCATTATCTCGAGTTGATCTGGGGCACATGGTGCTGCTTTGCATTGATGGGGTGACCTCAGGATCCATCTAGACATGTGACAGTGTTCTTGGGGACTCTCTCGAGATCCATTAAGCAAGTCGAAGCTCCTGACTTGCTTGATGGGGATCACGGGAATGCTCTGCATGGACTGCAGGGAATCAGGCCTCATCTCGCATCTAGGGGAAGTCTCATGGTTTTACTCGAGTTGCGGCGGGAACTGGGGTATGTTCTCGAGTTATGGCGGGGATGGCCCTTCAAAACACGTGTTTATTCAGTGACGTCAGGACTCCTGTCTAGTAACGAGAGACACCTCAGGAATCTCTTCGAGGCTTGGCAGGGCAAAAGGGATGCTTCTCGAGGTCAGGCAGGGCACCCAAGAACCCTGTCCTGTAGCTACAGTGATTTTGGGATTCCTATCAATGTTCAGGAGAAGTCAGGCATCGTCACATTTTGAGGCAGTGAACTCCGTGTGCCTCTCGAGGTGTCAACGGTATGTGAGGCATTCCGTTAAAATGAGGCAGGGACCTAGGGCTTTCTCTAAGGTCTCCACAGGGGATTCAGACATTCCTTCCGGTTGTGAGATGAAAGACGAGCCTGTATTCAAGACACAGCAAGAAAATCCGGCCTCCTTTCAAGTTAGGGCTTCTCGCTGTATATTCCACTTGAGGCAGCAAACTGGGGGTCCCTCCAACATTCCTATTGTGGAGAGAAGGCTCCCCTTGAGGTGCTTCTGGAAAGTTGGCATACGTCTTGAGCCTAAGCCAGGGAATCAGCTCTCATCTCGAGACGATTTGGGGTACACGGAGCATTCCTCGAGTTGCTGGGCTGAAGATGGTGTTCCTCTAGACTTGGGACAGTGTTCTCAGGGCATCTCTGGAGTTGCCTGAAGGAAGTCAAGCCACTGGTCGTGTTTAATGTGGAACGGGGGATGGCTCTGGAGTCAATGCAGGGGAATCGGGCATTATCTCGAGTTGATTTGGGGCACATGGTGCTGTTTGCGTTGATGGGGTGACCTCAGGATCCGTCTAGACATGTGACAGTGTTCCCTGGTGACTGTCTCGAGATCCATTAAGCAAGTCGAAGCTTCTGACTTGTTTGATGGGGATCTCGGAATTGCTCTGCATGCACTGCAGGAGAATCGGGCCTCATCTCGCCTCTAGGGGAAAGTCTCATGGTTTTTCTCGACTTGCGGCGGGGACCTGGGGTATGTACTCGTTTTACGGCGGGGATGGCCCTTCAAAACTCGTGTTTATTCAGTGATGTCAGGACTCCTGTCCAGTAACGAGGAACAGCTCAGGAATCTCTTCGAGGCTTGGCAGGGCACAAGGGACGCTTCTCGAGGTGAGGCCGGGCACCCAAGGAACCTTTCCAATAGCCACAGGGATTTTGGGATTCCTATCAATATTTTAGAGGAGTCAGGCATCATCACCTTTTGAAGCAGTGAACTCCGCGTGCCTCTCTAGGTGACAAGGGGATGTGAGGCATTCCGTCAAAATGAGGCAGGGAACTATAGCTTTCTCTAAGGTCTCCACAGGGGATTCAGACATCCCTTCATTCTGTGAGATGAAAGACGAGCCTGTATTCAAGCCACTGCAATGAAATCCGGCCTCCTTTCAAGTTAGGGTTTCTCGCTGTATATTCCACTTGAGGCAGCAAACTTGGGGTCCCTCGAACATACCTATTGCTGAGAGAAGCCTCCTCTTGAGGTGCTTCTGGAAAGTTGGCATACGTCTTGAGCCTAAGCCAGGGATTCAGCTCTCATCTCGAGACGATTTGTGGTACACGGAGCATTCCTCGAGTTGCTGTGCTGAAGTTGGTGTTCCTCTACTCTTGGGACAGTGTTCTCGGGGCATCTCTCGAGTTGCCTGAAGGAAGTCAAGCCACTGGTGGTGCTTATTGGGGTACGGGGGATGGCTCTGGAGTCAATGCATGGGAATCGGGCCTCAACGCGAGTTGATGTGGGGTACTTGGAGCTGCTTTGCGTTGCTGGGGTGATGTCAGGGTCTGTCTAGACTTGTGACAGTGTTCCTGGGGACTCTCTCGAGATCCATTAAGCAATTCGAAGCTGCTGACTTGCTTGATTGGGATCACGGGAATGCTCTGCATGGACTGCAGGGAATCAGGCCTCATCTCACATCTAGGGGAAGTCTCATGGTTTTTCTCGTGTTGCGGCGGGAACTGGGGTATGTTCTCGAGTTATGGCGGGGATGGCCCTTCAAAACACGTGTTTATTCAGTGACGTCAGGACTCCTGTCTAGTAACGAGGGACAGCTCTGGAATCTCTTCGAGGCTTGGCAGTGCACAAGGGACGCTTCTCGAGGTGAGGCAGGGCAGCCAAGGAACCTTTCCAATAGCCACAGGGATTTTGGGATTCCTATCAATATTTTAGAGGAGTCAGGATTCGTCACCTTTTGAAGCAGTGAACTCCGCGTGCCTCTCTTGGTGACAACGGGATGTGAGGCATTCCGTCAAAATGAGGCAGGGACCTATAGCTTTCTCTAAGGTCTCCACAGGGGATTCAGACGTCCCTTCATTCTGTGAGATGAAAGACGAGCCTGTATATAAGCCACTGCAAGGAAATCCGGTCTCCTTTCAAGTTAGGGCTTCTCGCTGTATATTCCACTTGAGGAAGCAACCTCGGGGTCCCTCCAACATACCTATTGCTGAGAGAAGCCTCCTCTTGAGGTGCTTCTGGAAAGTTGGCATACGTCTTGAGCCTAAGCCAGGGATTCAGCTCTCATCTCGAAACGATTTGTGGTACACGGAGCATTCCTCGAGTTGCTGTGCTGAAGTTGGTGTTCCTCTAGTCTTGGGAGAGTGTTTGCGGGGCATCTCTGGAGTTGCCTGAAGGAAGTCTAGCCAGTTGTCTTGTTTAATGGGGAACTGGGGATGGCTCTGGAGTCAATGCAGGGGAAACGGGCCACATCTCGTGTTGATTTGGGGCACATGGAGCTGCTTTGCGTTGCTGGGGTGACCTCAGGGTCCGTCTAGACTTGTGACAGTGTTCTTGGGGACTGTCTCGAGATCCATTAAGCAAGTCGAAGCTCCTGACTTGTTTGATGGGGATCACGGGAATACTCTGTATGCACTGCAGGGAATCAGGACTCATCTCGCATCTAGGGGGAAGTCTCACGGTTTCTCTCAAGTTGCGCGGGGGACCTGGGGTATGTTCTCGAGTTACGGCGGGGATGGCCCCTCAAAACCCGTGTTTATTCAGTGCCGTCAGGACTCCTGTCTAGTAACGAGGGACACCTCAGGAATCTCTTCGAGGCTTGGCAGGTCAAAATGTTTGCTTCTCGAGGTGAGGCAGGGCAACCAATGTCCCTTTCCAGTAGCCACAGTGATTTTGGGATTCTTATCAATGATCAGGAGGGGTCAGGCATCGTCACATTTGAAGCAGTGAACTCCGTGTGCCTCCCGAGGTGTCAACGGGATGTGAGGCATTCCGTCAAAATGAGGCAGGGACCTAGGGCTTTCTCTAAGGTCTCCACAGGGGATTCAGACATCTCTTCCTGCTGTGAGATGAAAGACGAGCCTGTATTCAAGACACTGCTAGGAAACCGGCCTCCATTCTAGTTAGTGCTTCTCGCTGTATATTCCATTTGAGGCAGGAAACTCGGGTTCCCTCCCACATACCTATTGCTGAGAGAAGCCTCCTCTTGAGGTGCTTCTGGAAAGTTGGCATACGTCTTGAGCCTAAGCCAGGGAATCAGCTCTCAACTCGAGAAGATTTGGCATACAGGAAGCAATCCTCGAGTTGCTGTGCTAAAGGAGGTTTTCCTCTAGACTTGGGACAGTGTTCTCGGGGCATCTCTGGAGTTGTCTGAAGGAGGTCAAGCCACTGGTGGTGTTTAATGCGGAACGGCAGATGCCTCTGGAGTCAATGCAGGGGAATCGGACCTCATCTCAAGTTGATTTGGGGCACATGGAGCTGCTTTGCGTTGCTTGGGATACCTAGGGTCCGTCTAGACATGTGACAGTGTTCTTGGGGAATGTCTCGAGATCCATTAAGCAAGTCGAAGCTCCTGACTTGTTTGATGGGGATCACGGAATTGCTCTGCATGCACTGCAGGAGAATCGGGCCTCATCTCGCCTCTAGGCGGAAGTCTCATGGTTTTTCTCGAGTTGCGGCGGGGACCTGGGGTATGTACTCGAGTTACGGCGGCGATGGCCCTTCAAAACACTTGTTTATTCAGTGACGTCAGGACTCCTGTCCAGTAACGAGGGACAGCTCAAGAATCTCTTCGAGGCTTGCCGGGGCACAAGGGACGCTTCTCGAGATGAGGCAGGGCACCCAAGGAACCTTTCCAATAGCCACAGGGATTTTGGGATTCCTATCAATATTCAAGAGGAGTCAGGCATCGTCACCTTTTGAAGCAGTGAACTCCGCGTGTCTCTCGTGGTGTCAACGGGATGTGAGGCATTCCGTCAAAATGAGGCAGGGACATAGGGCTTTCTCTAAGGTCTCCACAGGGGATTCAGACATCCCTTCCGGTTGTGAGATGAAAGACGAGCCTGTATACAAGACACTGCAAGGAAATCCGGCCTCCATTCAAGTTAGGGCTTCTCGCTGTATATTCCACTTGAGGCAGCAAACTCGGGGTCCCACGACCATACCTATTGCTGAGAGAAGCCTCCTCTTGAGGTGCTTCTGGAAAGTTGGCATACGTCTTGAGCCTAAGCCAGGGAATCAGCTCTCATCTCGAGACGATTTGTGGTACACGGGGCATTCCTCGAGTTGCTGTGCTGAAGTTGGTGTTCCTCTAGTCTTGGGACAGTGTTCTCGGGGCATCTCTGGAGGTGTCTGAAGGAAGACAAGCCAGTGGTCTTGTTTAATGGGGAACTGGGGATGGCTCTGGAGTCAATGCTTGGGAATCGGGCCTCATCTCGAGTTGATGTGGGGTACTTGCAGCTGCTTTGCATTGCTGGGGTGACCTCAGGGTCTGTCTAGACTTGTGACAGTGTTCCTGGGGACTTTCTCGAGTTCAATTAAGCAAGTCGAAGCTCCTGACTTGCTTGATAGGGATCACGGGAATGCTCTTCATGGACTGCAGGGAATCAGGCCTCATCTCGCCTCTAGGGGAAGTCTCATGGTTTTACTCGAGTTGAGGCGCGAACTGGGGTATGTTCTCGTGTTCCGGCGGGGATGGCCCTTCAAAACACGTGTTTATTCAGTGACGTCAGGACTCCTGTCTAGTAACGAGAGACACCTCAGGAATCTCTTCGAGGCTTGGCAGGGCAAAAGGGATGCTTCTCGAGGTCAGGCAGGGCACCAAAGAACCCTGTCCTGTAGCTACAGTGATTTTGGGATTCCTATCAATGTTCAGGAGGAGTCAGGCATCGTCACATTTTGAAGCAGTGAACTCCGTGTGCCTCTCGAGGTGTCAACGGGATGTGAGACATTCCGTCAAAACGAGGCAGGGACCTAGGGCTTTCTCTAAGGTCTCCACAGGGGATTCAGACATCCCTTCCTGTTGTGAGATGAAAGACGAGCCTGTATTCAAGCCACTGCAAGGAAATCCGTCCTCCTTTCAAGTTAGGGCTTCTCGTGTATATTCCACTTGACGCAGCAATCTGGGGGTCCCTCCAACATACCTATTGCTGAGAGAAGGCTCCCCTTGAGGTGCTTCTGGAAAGTTGGCATACGTCTTGAGCCTAAGCCAGGGAATCAGCTCTCATCTCGAGACGATTTGGGGTACACGGAGCATTCCTCGAGTTGCTGTGCTGAAGATGGTGTTTCTCTAGACTTGGGACAGTGTTCTCAGGGCGTCTCTGGAGTTGCCTGAAGGAAGTCAAGCTACTGGTCGTGTTTAATGTGGAACGGGGGATGGCTCTGGAGTCAATGCAGGGGAATCGGGCATTATCTCGAGTTGATTTGGGGCACATGGTGCTGCTTTGCCTTGATGGGGTGACCTCAGGATCCGTCTAGACATGTGACAGTGTTCTTGGGGACTGTCTCGAGATCCATTAAGCAAGTCGAAGCTTCTGACTTGTTTGATGGGGATCACGGAATTGCTCTGCATGCACTGCAGGAGAATCGGGCCTCATCTCGCCTCTAGGGGAAAGTGTCATGGTTTTTCTCGACTTGCGGTGGGGACCTGGGGTATGTACTCGGGTTACGGCGGGGATGGCCTTCAAAACTCGTGTTTATTCAGTGACGTCAGAACTCCTGTCCAGTAACGATGGGCAGCTCAGGAATCTCATCGAGACTTGGCAGGGCACAAGGGACGCTTCTCCACTTGAGGCAGGGCACCCAAGGAAGGTTTCCAATAGCCACAGGGATTTTGGGATCCTATCAATATTTTAGAGGAGTCAGGCATCGTCACCTTTTGAAGCAGTGAACTCCGCGTGCCTCTGGAGGTGACAACGGGATGTGAGGCATCCCGTCAAAATGAGGTAGGGACCTATAGCTTTCTCTAAGGTCTCCACATGGGATTCAGACATCCCTTCATTCTGTGAGATGAAAGACGAGCCTGTATTCAAGCCACTGCAAGGAAATCCGGCCTTCTTTCAAGTTAGGGCTTCTCGCTGTATATTCCACTTGAGGCAGCAAACTCGGGGTCCCTCCAACATACCTATTGCTGAGAGAATCCTCCTCTTGAGGTGCTTCTGGAAAGTTGGCATACGTCTTGAGCCTAAGCCAGGGATTCAGCTCTCATCTCGAGACGATTTGTGGTACACGGACCATTCCTCGAGTTGCTGTGCTGAAGTTGGTGTTCCTCTAGTCTTGGGAGAGTGTTTGCGGGGCATCTCTGGAGTTGCCTGAAGGAAGTCTAGCCAGTTGTCTTGTTTAATGGGGAACTGGGGATGGCTCTGGAGTCAATGCAGGGGAATCGGGCCACATCTCGGGTTGATTTGGGGCACATGGAGCTGCTTTGCGTTGCTGGGGTGACCTCAGGGTCCGTCTAGACTTGTGACAGTGTTCTTGGGACTGTCTCGAGATCCATTAAGCAAGTCGAAGCTCCTGACTTGTTTGATGGGGATCACGGGAATACTCTGCATGCACTGCAGGGAATCAGGACTCATCTCACATCTAGGGGGAAGTCTCACGGTTTCTCTCAAGTTGCGTGGGGGACCTGGGGTATCTTCTCGAGTTACGGCGGGGATGGCCCCTCAAAACCCGTGTTTATTCAGTGCCGTCAGGACTCCTGTCTAGTAACGAGGGACACCTCAGGAATCTCTTCGAGGCTTGGCAGGTCAAAAGGTATGCTTCTCGAGGTGAGGCAGGACAACCAATGTCCCTTTCCAGTAGCCACAGTGATTTTGGGATTCCTATCAATATTCAAGACGAGCCAGGCATCATCACCTTTTGAAGCAGTGAACTCCGCGTGCCTCTCGAAGTGTCAACTGGATTTGAGGCATTCCGTCAAAATGATGCAGGGACCTAGAGCTTTCTCTAAGGTCTCCACAGGGGATTCAGACATCCCTTCATGCTGTGAGATGAAAGACGAGCCTATATCCAAGCTACTGCAAGGAAATCCGGCCTCCTTTCAAGTTAGGGCTTCTCGCTGTATATTCCACTTGAGGCAGCAAACTCGGGGTCCCTCTCAAATACCTATTGCTGAGAGAAGCCTCCTCTTGAGGTGCTTCTGGAAAGTTGGCATACGTCTTGAGCCTAAGCCATGGAATCAGCTCTCACCTCGAAACGATTTGGGGTACACGGAGCATTCCTCGAGTTGCTGTGCTGAAGTTCGTATTCCTCTAGACTTGGGACAGTGTTCTCGGGGCATCTCACGAGTTGCCTGAAGGAAGTCAAGCCACTGGTGGTGTTTAATGGGGTAGGGGGATGGCTCTGGAGTCAATGCATGGGAATCGGGCCTCAATGCGAGTTGATGTGGGGTACTTGGAGCTGCTTTGCGTTGCTGGGGTGATGTCAGTGTCTGTCTAGACTTGTGACAGTGTTCCTGGGGACTCTCTCGAGATCCATTAAGCAATTCGAAGCTGCTGACTTGCTTGATTGGGATCACGGGAATGCTCTGCATGGACTGCAGGGAATCAGGCCTCATCTCGCATCTAGGGGAAAGTCTCATGGTTTTTCTCGACTTGCGGCGGGGACCTGGGGTATGTACTCGGGTTACGGCGGGGATGGCCCTTAAAAACTCGTGTTTATTCAGTGACGTCAGGACTCCTGTCCAGTAACGAGGGACAGCTCAGGAATCTCTTCGAGGCTTGGCAGGGCAAAAGGGATGCTTCTCGAGGTGAGGCAGGGCACCCAGGAACCCTGTCCTGTAGCTACAGTGATTTTGGGATTCCTATCAATGTTCAGGAGGAGTCAGGCATCGTCAGCTTTTGAAGCAGTGAACTCCGCGTGACTCTCGAGGTGTCAACGGGATGTGAGGCATTCCGTCAAAATGAGGCAGGGACCTAGGGCTTTCTCTAAGGTCTCCACAGGGGATTCAGACATCTCTTCCTGCTGTGAGATGAAAGACGAGCCTGTATTCAAGACACTGCTAGGAAACCGGCCTCCATTCTAGTTAGTGCTTCTCGCTGTATATTCCATTTGAGGCAGCAAACTCGGGTTCCCTCCCACATACCTATTGCTGAGAGAAGCCTCCTCTTGAGGTGCTTCTGGAAAGTTGGCATACGTCTTGAGCCTAAGCCAGGGAATCAGCTCTCAACTCGAGAAGATTTGGCATACAGGAAGCATTCCTCGAGTTGCTGTGCTAAAGTAGGTGTTCCTCTAGACTTGGGACAGTGTTCTCGGGGCATCTCTGGAGTTGTCTGAAGGAGGTTAAGCCACTGGTGGTTTTTAATGCGGAACGGCAGATGGCTCTGGAGTCAATGCAGGGGAATCGGACCTCATCTCAAGTTGATTTGGGGCACATGGAGCTGCTTTGCGTTGCTGAGGATACCTCAGGGTCCGTCTAGACATGTGACAGTGTTCTTGGGGAATGTCTCGAGATCCATTAAGCAAGTCGAAGCTCCTGACTTGTTTGATGGGGATCACGGAATTGCTCTGCATGCACTGCAGGAGAATCAGGCCTCATCTCGCCTCTAGGGGAAGTCTCATGCTTTTACTCGAGTTGCGGCGGGACTTGGGGTATGTTTTCGAGTTATGGCGGGGATGGCCCTTCAAAACACGTGTTTATTCAGTGACGTAAGTTCTCCTGTCTAGTAACGAGGGACACATCAGGAATCTCTTCGAGGCTTGGCAGGGCAAAAGGGATGCTTCTCGAGGTGAGGCAGGGCACACAAGAACCCTTTCCAGTAGCCACAGTGATTTTGGGATTCCTATCAATGTTCAGGAGGAGACAGGCATCGTCACATTTTGAAGCAGTGAACTCCGCTTGCCTCTCGAGGTGACAACGGGATGTGAGGCATTCCGTCAAAATGAGGCAGGGACCTAGGGCTTTCTCTAAGGTCTCCACAGGGGATTCAGACATTCCTTCCGGTTGTGAGATGAAAGACGAGCCTGTATTCAAGACACAGCAAGGAAATCCGGCCTCCTTTGAAGTTAGGGCTTCTCGCTGTATATTCCACTTGAGGCAGCAAACTCGGGGTCCCTCCAACATTCCTATTGCTGAGAGAAGGCTCCCCTTGAGGTGCTTCTGGAAAGTTGGCATAAGTCTTGAGCCTAAGCCAGGGAATCAGCTCTCATCTCGAGACGATTTGGGGTACACGGAGCATTCCTCGAGTTGCTGTGCTGAAGATGGTGTTCCTCTAGACTTGGGACAGTGTTCTCAGGGCGTCTCTGGAGTTGCCTGAAGGAAGTCAAGCCACTGGTCGTGTTTAATGTGGAACGGGGGATGGCTCTGGAGTCAATGCAGGGGAATCGGGTATTATCTCGAGTTGATTTGGGGCACATGGTGCTGCTTTGCGTTGATGGGGTGACCTCAGGATCCGTCTAGACATGTGACAGTGTTCCCTGGTGACTGTCTCGAGATCCATTAAGCAAGTCGAAGCTTCTGACTTGTTTGATGGGGATCACGGAATTGCTCTGCATGCACTGCAGGAGAATCGGGCCTCATCTCGCCTCTAGGGGAAAGTCTCATGGTTTTTCTCGACTTGCGGCGGGGACCTGGGGTATGTACTCGGGTTACGGCGCGGATGGGCCTTCAAAACTCGTGTTTATTCAGTGACGTCAGGACTCCTGTCCAGTAACGAGGGACAGCTCAGGAATCTCTTCGAGGCTTGGCAGGCACAAGGGACGCTTCTCGAGGTGAGGCAGGGCACCCAAGGAACCTTTCCAATAGCCACAGGGATTTTGGGATTCCTATCAATATTTTAGAGGAGTCAGGCATCGTCACCTTTTGAAGCAGTGAACTCTGCGTGCCTCTCTAGGTGACAACGGGATGTGAGGCATTCCGTCAAAATGAGGCAGGGACCTATAGCTTTCTCTAAGGTCTCCACAGGAGATTCAGTCATCCCTTCATTCTGTGAGATGAAAGACGAGCCTGTATTCAAGCCATTGCAAGGAAATCCAGCCTCCTTTCAAGTTAGGGCTTCTCGCTTTATATTCCACTTGAGGCAGCAAACTCGGGGTCCCTCCAACATACCTATTGCTGAGAGAAGCCTCCTCTTGTGGTGCTTCTGGAAAGTTGGCATACGTCTTGAGCCTAAGCCAGGGATTCAGCTCTCATCTCGAGACGATTTGTGGTACACGGAGCATTCCTCGAGTTGCTGTGCTGAAGTTGGTGTTCCTCTAGTCTAGGGAG